CCCCCCCTCATCCTGCTCGGGGTAGAAAGAGCCGCGCTTCCAACACCCCGACTGGTCCCGGCCCCGAGAAAGAACTGGCGGATACGCGCACCTCCGCGACGCCCCGGAGCGCGGGCAGTGCCCGGGCCCGGTCCTCACGCCCACTGCCCACTGCCCACTGCAGGCGCTCGGGAGGCCCGGCTCTCACCGCAGCCCGCCCTCCAAGGCTGCCCTCCGGTTCCACCCCCACCCTCGCCCCGTGTCGCCGTGGGTGGTGCGACCTGAGAAGCCCTCGCCGCCCCGGGGGACTGTCACAGCTGAAGGACCCTGAAAGCTGCCGCGCCCCGTGACTCCTGCGTTCATTCAACAGACGCTTAATCAGCGCGGCGAAGTGCCAGCTCCCCCACCACCCTCCGCCAGCCCAGCCTGGGCTCACATTCCCTAGCTAGGACAAGACCAACCACTGTCTTTCCCCAATTATCCCTCAGGAACTGGCTTGTTAACCTGGTCTGCGCTGCAGTTCGTAGGTGTAGCTTCATTTTAGGGCTGGCTCAGTCTAAGACTCCGAAACATCCAGTCAATATGAAGAAATGCTCAGCCCTAAGGAGCACTGAGGCTACACCGCAAGACCCTCACTGCACAGACCCTGGGGACCCGGATCACTCCGACAGCAAGGGCAGAGCCAGCTGTTCCTCCTGAGGCCGCTGCCCGCCTCCATCCGTCCCGGACACAGCCAGAAGCCGGGCTGTGAACATTTGCGGGCTGCCGCGGGTACCTCCCTGCGTCGTTGTAAACTAGTGGGGCGCAGAGAGTCCCGGGCCCACTGCTTTAAAACCTCCACCCCGCGCGCAGTTGCTCTCCTTTTTCAAGATTTTTATTTGGGGTGCATGTGTGGAGGGGGCACGTGACCACTTACACCTTAAAGCCTAGAAATAAAAATCACCGGGAGAAAAGCTGAACTTGGTATCAAATTACAACTCTAAGCTCTGCAAGTTAAATTTTACTTTCATCAATTTCTGAAAGTACATTACAGAGGGCCATTCCGGTGCAGGGTGACACAGCTGGATCCTACATGCTGACTGCACAGTTGGAGTCCTGGACCCAGCACCTCGAAAAGTTAGGCTGGGTGGGGCCAGCAGGTGGCGTGGTAGTTAAGGTGCTGAACTCACACATGGTCAACCATGGTTTGATTCCCAGACCTGGCAGCTTGCTTACTCACGTTGTCTCTCTCTCTCCTTTCTCTCTCTCTCTCATGAGCACATGTGCTCTATAGAAATTTTAAAATAATAATAATAAATAAAAAG